TCCTGCTACACATCATGAGTAATTAGATTTCAATTAGATTTAAAAGATATTGGAATACTTTTAATATATGACCAACTTTTAACCCCACAATGACTGTTGACATGGTCTCATTCAAAGTTCAGGTAAACAAAATTGATATATCAAAGCCAGTGTTTACCTTTCTATTTCAAATATGTTATTGCATTTTCATAAGAAAACACAATTATAACTCAATTAAAGCAGAGTTTTCAGTATTGCTCATGACAATGCCAGATATCATTTCCTGTCCAATTCAATCTACAACTTAAAGAGGCTGGGGGTTGTGGCCATTTTTAGACTATATTGATCTCCTTTAGAAGAAGAGCTCCATATGAAGATATAGAAAATGATCAAATTTTAAAACTAAAATTTTTCTTTGCCAAATGATAGTTGACAGCTTAAGATATCATATCTAAAAAATTAAGTTAAATCTGGTGGTTAATTTGTGGTTAATTTGTTGACCCCCCAGCCTCCTTAAGCCATAATTTATATAATCTCTAATACAAAAATCTAACACAAAAATTATAATTCCATTAGGGAAAAGTACTAAATGAGTTCTTAAATGGAATTCTTAATTCTTTTATTTTTTGACAAGTAGAAGTTCTTATTTCCCCAGGTACATAACCCTGCACTATCTTATTACAGATTTGGACACTACAATAAAAAATGCAAAAAATCTGGAGAACTTAATATTTTTGTTTCCATTTATCAAAAGAAATGTACAGTGTAATTAATATTAGAATTTAACATCAATTCTATTCTAAAAATATTGTGCAGAAAAGGATAACTAATTCTATTCTAAAAATATTGTGCAGAAAAGGATAACTAATGAGCATAGATTATGGAACCTTTTCCTTTCTTTGCATAACTAAATTTCTTCAACCTATCTGAACATTGTACTGTGCAGATCACTTACGGGAAGCAATCATATACTCACTAAGGTTTCTCAAATACAGTGTACTGTATATCACTTTACTCTATATTTGTGTAATTACGTGAGACCATCTGATCATGAAAATTTCATCCTTGTGTATAATTCTACTATTAAAGATTATATAGAACAGTAACCAAAAGGACTATATTCGGTAATGACCAATATTTGCCCCCAAAATTAAACTTTGATGGAAAAATCTAAAATTACATTCTAAACCAAGGGGATATCTGCATACTCAAAGCAATAAACATTTTCATCTGCCATGATGCCATATGTTAGATACGATGACAGGAAAGTGACGTAAATTCAAAATTTTCATGATTTATAGAGAAAAAGGTGTACATGTATATCACGTCGATATTTTGAGTAAAAGTCACCGATTGCAGGTCTGCGCCAACTCAATATTTTGATATAATGTGTAGGATGATGATATCAATGTCAGAAATATGTTATATTGTTATGGAGCATGCTTGTGCAGCAAATTGTCCTCTATAAATTTTATAGTAAAAATTGAACAAATATTGTCCATTTTGTCCTCTTTCTGAAAAATAATGCAAAATCCAACAAGTTTGTAACTCATAGAAGCAAAATTTGCCAGTAACCTACTTTGTAACCATAATATTTTTTGGTAATTCAGATTTTTCATACAATATATACAATTCAGCACATCTCAAGACATTTTATAAAATATAACTTTTATGGGGGCAAAAATATGCATATACCGCATATAGCTCTTTGTGAAAATTTTGTTTTGCTTATAAATACCAAACAACAATCTTGTGAAAATAAGGTGTCACAAAAATTAAGTGAACTTCAGTATGTTGGAAAATCAAAAAAAAAAAAAAAAAAAAAAAACTCTATTTGAGATTGCTGATAGTAGGATACTACAAGGCTATGGAACAAAAGGCAAATGGAAACACAACCAAAAATATCCCAAACAATCTCTCAAATAAAATGATGTCAAAAATATTTTTGTTTTTGTTGTTATTGTTTTTTTTGTTTGTTTTTTTTATACAGGTACATATTCCTACTAGTGCCACTAGAATTATTTCCACTGGGCATAAATGCCCAGGCCACTTGTACATTTTAACATGAAAAGAAATGAAGAGTGTTTCTCTGGTCTGGGCTTATGCTAAAATATGAAGAAGGAAGAATGAGTCTTACATATCGGTATTTTTTTTTTCACGTACTAAGCTGATAACATATTAGAAAAGATGCTGCCTGTTGTAATAGCTGTGTAAATGTTGTGATAGCCTAAAAATTTTATCCAATAAAGAAGAATTCCCATACTTTCTTACTCATATATGAAAAGATATTATAAAGGCTATATTAACATTTTTTATACCATTCTGATATGATATTTGAAAAGGTGTTTTATCAATTTAACCACTATCTGATTATGTGGGACCCACTGTTGGGCCAATGTAACATAAATCCCAACTACCAGTACCTGGGACCCCTGGATTACTAGTCAGGTGCTATAATCACTGAGCTATTGAGGCTGATATCCTCTGTTGATATGTCCACATAACGCAAAACACTACATTCCTCCCTCATTAAATTTTCTTTGCCCTTAAAGACACCAAACCTAGATTCTTTAGCTCCTGGCAGGACTTTACTTGCAAGTCCAGCAGGCCCGTAAGTTGGGGGGGGGGGGGGGGGGGGCAAGAGAGAGAAGTAAAGTAAACATTTTCTGAGAATAGTCTTATGCTATAATCTTTAAATTTTGATTTTCATGCAACTTGGCCCCCACTTTTTGTTGCTGTATGGTCAAACATATGCAAATTCCAGCATTTGAAAGAAAAAATGTACCAAAAAGTTTGAGAATGCCCCCCCCCCCCCCCCAATAGGATTTTAGAGTTTGGTCAATTTACACTGGGGGTGGGGCTTGTCAACTTTTTTGGAGGCCCCTCCCCCCTAACTTTGAAAACCATTGCTACAGGCATATCCAGCACCAAATGTAACATTACTAGTGATATACATGTTCTCTAACCACTGAGCTAGCCAGACTAAAATCCATGGTCCAACCCAAACCACTACATACTAAACTCAACCTTCAGACATCCCTTTTTGTGGAACACTGTGAATCTCATTCTGATACAACAAGTTGATGTCATATATGTAGAGTAAACATTTTCTAACTGTGTACATATGTATTTTCAGAAGTCTTTCAGAACACAATCCATCCTTTTGTGTTTGGTTTGCCAATAACGAGATTTGTCTCTTGCTTTAGTTTTGTTTGTTCTTGTCAGAAACAGAAAATTTCAATTCCTCTTTAAGATTTTTTGGGGGGGAGGGTATTTTCATTAAAAAAAAATATTGAAATGCTCCTTACTGTATATTTAATTTCTACATTTAAACGACAGATTGGACACGCATCATTCTTCAGTTCATCTATCTTCAGAATCTTTCCCTCCCAGCCTGAGTCAACTTTCTCACCCTCGATCTTGAATAAAATGAAACTCATTTTAAATACTACACAAAAAATAAAGGAAAAATGAAGAAAACATTAAGAAGAAAGACCACTCACCACAGTGACATCTTTAGAAACAGTCTCCTTAACTGCAAAGAATTTTTATTATTCTGTAATATATCGGCAGATAAAAAACATTGTATATTAAAATGACAGTTAAGTAATCATGAACAGCTAGTACAGAAAAATACAGAAAAAAAACCTTTTAAAGCTGCTATAGCCTGGGTTGTAGAAAATTGCTTTCTCAAAGGTTGTTCTATAAACTTTTTAATTCGGATAACCGATCTGAGACGACAAGCCATCTCAAGGTTCTTTCTTCAATTGGAATCTTAACATTTTATGTGTGAGTTCCGATTAAGCAAACGCTCCAATGATTAAACACAGCAAAAGGAACAGCGAAAACCATGTCGGTGTACTAGGCCTAAATCCGAATAAATTTCATGAGACGGTGTCTTGTTCATCTGTTCATGGTAAATTATTGAACAATGTTGAAGGCATTGTCCTTTAAATAGATAATAGTTGCTTTTTCATACCTCATTATCATCGGAGATTGCATCAGTCGAAAGCCTCATCCGATCATACACATACTCCTCATTCATCAGCATTTTTAGAAAGATCAACTCTCATCACCACGATTAGCTGATCACAGGCACTTGTTTCTGCACCCCAGCATTATACATATAATATCAGGTAAAAAAAAGAAGAAAGAACAGAAACAAGTGCCTGTAATTTTCTCTCAAAACAAAAATTATTTGTCCTTAGTAATAAACTATATTCTATAGTATGTACATTATAGGCACGAAATAAATAAAAACGTTGTTTTATTGTGCTATTTTATTTTTCCAAGTGACTTTGTGTCTGTGATGAAGTTAGACTGTTAGCCACTAGGCGTAGTAGATTTTTTTGTGACATATTTTAAGTCTGCCACATACATTTACTTGAATATGTAAATACGTAGAGTCATTCCATTTTTATTGGGTATTGGTGAGTATTTTCAGGCGCTCACGTGCAGTGCACCTGTGATTACTCATGGCCGTAGGAACCGGGGGGGGGGCACGGGGGGGCCGTGCCCCCCCAATAAATTTGCCGATATATAGAATACTATAGAAAACATAACTACTATAAGCTTGTGCCCCCTCAATAATAACGTCTGATGACCTTTTTTTTTTTTTTTTTTTTTTTTTTTTTTGGCTTGTCAAGGAATTTTGGTACTTGATAGTGCCCCCTCAACTGAAATGTATGGTGTTGTGCCCCCTCAAAGTGAAAATGCTTCCTACGGGCCTGAATTACATGTATAAAGTGAGAAGGCTATCCAAAAGTTTGTGGTGGGGGGGGGGGGGAGGGGGATATATGTGCATCTGGCTCATATTTTCACAAATTTTGTATGTAAAAAGAGTTGAGGGAATCCCCTCCCTGTTTGTATTGTAACCTTGTATTTCATTGCTCTTTTGCATGGTGCTGCCATTGTGGTGCTGCTGTTAAATGTGCAACTATGACGTAACAATATAATTTCCTAATGACGCTAACTTTCTGTGACGAAATAATCATTTTTCCATTTTTCGATCGGGTCAGAAAGATGGAGATTCGAATTCTGATTACCGAGACCATATATGTCATGAAATTGATAATGAATTCGATCCTATGTTATCCGATATACGTACTTCTTACATGGTAAGTATCTCTCCATATCAGCAAAATAATTTCGAAATTATGTCGGAGATTCCGCGCAGAATAATCAATAAAAGTAAAATATGTATTCATTTATCTTTTTTCAGTCATGAGAAAAAGCCATCTTATTGGGATAAGGTGTCTTATTATTTTAGGATCAGAGAACCTGTTCAAGTTTGTCCTGGTATTAAAAGCATTCCCATGGTGGGTAATTTTGGGACATTTTCTAAATTCTAAGTAACGCTTTAATATAAATGTTCATTTGGATTGATAGTTTAATTGAAAATGACTTTTATAGATGGTTTTAGTGTTACTTTTGATGGAGATACTGTGGATGGGGATTTTATTGTTTGCATCAAGAGATGAACCAAGGAGCAAGGTAAAATCCATACTTTACAAAAGCAGGCATTGCTTCTGTAAAGCTCGCTATTCATTTTAAACTCTTAATCAGATCTAAATCTGTCAATTAATGAGCAAATATTGAAATTATCTTTTTTTTTTTTAGAAACTGGATAATGTTGCAACCCAGTGCGAACTTCCTGAAACAAAGAAACCACTATCATTAGAAGTTACCCAATCCGGTAGCTTCTTTGAAGAAAATGAATTTGTTGGAATAACTGATTGGTCATCCGAAACTGTGTCCCTGAAGAAGCTGATGAACCCAGTAATGAGTGGACGGGGCAAGAGAGGAAATTCCTCAACTGAAACAATGTGTCAAGTGGAGTAAAAAGAAAAAAAAACTAGGATTTTGATGATGAAGATAAATTTTAACCTGAACAAAATATTGTGTGTGTATGTGTGTTTGATAGTTCTATTTTAAAACTGAATTTATTCAGTGTACATATATACAATGTATACATGTACTTGTATACTCACTTTGACATGTATATATCTGTTCTATATTATTATGATTAGATTAATTATAATGTTATATATTTAAGAAATGAATTTAATTTTTGAAGATTCATGAGGACATGAACTACGACGCTTCACGCTGGCATATTTCATGAAGCGCGTTAGCGCTTCATGATAAATATGCCGGCGTGTAGCGTTGTAGTTCATGTACCTCATGAATTTTCAAAAATTAAATTCATTTCTTATATTTACATTATTTTTTTGAAGAGATGCCACAAATTACACCATTCAATTTTCATTTTTAAAGCAAAACAGTTTGCACTATAGTTTTGACGTCAAGTAGGGTATTATGACGTTACAATTGAGATATTCATGCTCATTCATGGTAGTTCATGAGAAAATGAACAGTGTTCTAATTTGCAAAGAATCTTAAGGAAAAATATTTGGAAATGTAAATATATAGCTATATAGATACATATTCTATGGTCTGCAGACACACACTAAAACGGTATTTACGATCAATTTACACAATGAACTTCAAGTTAAATGTAGTAAACATGTATAATAAATGCTGATAAAATTACTGTGTAAAATTCCATATTTTTAAGTATCCATGAATTAACAGTCCTATTTCGCACCGTGGGAAATGGTGTCCCTAACTCTTACAGTTCTTGCAGTTCTCGAGATATAAGGTGTGACAGACGGACACACAGACGCCGGGTAAAGTTCAGTGATCCCTGAGTGTCGCTCCAAAGGCGGATCCAGCCCCCCCCCCCCCCCCCCGTTTGATTTTTTTTTTTACATGTATGTAGAAATTATATGCTCATTATCTTAAAATCAAGGCGTGAAATACCTCTTATTTGTAAGAATTCGTCAGCTTCAGTGGACTTCGCCCACCTGGGGGACCCACTTGGGGCTTCAATGCAGCCCCCAGACCCCCCTGCCTTCTACCCCCCCCCCCCGTTATGAAATTCCTGGATTCGCCACCGCGCCCTGCTCTGCAGGTGATACAAAAATAATGTGATACTCTTGTGGTACGAACTCTAGCAATAAAAATAGCTTTGAAGGCTGGACGATTTCCAAATATGGAAGTCAAGAACGATAACTGAAAGTTGCTATAATATACTTCATATACCATGTTATATAGTGTACACTTTAAATGGATATAAGGAAAGGTGTAAAACGTGGAGAAAATAGAATGTAGATGATCGAATGGTTTATATCACCATAACTCACCACGCGTACCAGAAACTGGACGATTTTGTAATAAACTCAGGAAAAAAAATGACTGTTATATATATTCCCACACGAAAACATTTTCATGCCAGGCTCTAAAAACTGAAAATCTGCCGTATTTATATCAAATTTCTTAACACAAGTTAACCTTATGGGATTGCTACCTCGTAGTGACAGATTTTTTAATCCCACTTAAAATTTATTCTAAGCTTTTCAAGTTGTGTTTGTTCATGGTAGAATTGTAATATATGCTGTATCATTCCTAAATGTTTATAAAGTTTACAAAATGTTTGTTCTCCAAAAATCTTTTGAGCAAAACTGTCTAAAACCACGTGTTTTATTTATTTTCTCATGGGTTTGTCTAAATGCCGTTATCTGATAAGTCAGAAGGATTAGCACCTTCTTTATTTTGTGTATTTATAGAAAACACGGTTGTCGTTCTTGACTTCTATGGAAATCGTCCAGGCCTGTTGAATGTCAGATTTTATATGATAAATGCTATACTAGTACTAGTATTCAATCGGTGTTAATATTTGTGGATTTTTTCCTTTGCTGTTAAAAATCATGATATGCTAGTAGCAAATAAATAACTGACCACCCTTCAATTTATTGCTATCTTTTATGATGCTATGAAGTATTTCTTGGAAAGATACGAATATTGTGTCACAAAATAGTATTTTTAATGTATAGTGGATCCTTACTCCATGTTTTTATTAAAATTTCATATTGATTTGGCAACAATCTATTCGAGCCCTCTCTATAATCAATAAAAAAATCGTGAATATTTTCAAGATCAGGAAGGGGTAACAGCAGTCTGTTTGATCCCTCCTTTATTTTTAAGTAGAGATTCAAGTTTAACAATGGAAGTCATTTAAAAAAAAACGTAGCTTAGAGAAAAAACTTGCATAGTGGCACTTGGATACCCGTAAAGCCAGTGGGCTTGTTCAAGAAAGTCAATATGAATTTTTTTTCTTTCAATATGTAAAGAAACACAAAACTATCACTAAAACATTTAACTTTTATTTGGAGATAAGTGTTACACCACTGGAACTACATTGTATATCAAAGGTCGAAATGTTTCACGATTCTAAAGAGATATAATCAATAAAACATAACATTTATGGAATGCCCTACAAAGCTTAGTTTATTAAATATGAAAAATGTTAAAAAACTCATATCTTGTTAAAATTGTATAAAATCAAAATCAAAGCAAGAACTTAATAAGAAATAAAACTAGAACCAATTATTGACAATAATATGGGTACTCAAAGATAAATAAAAATAATCATATCATCAGTTCATAGATAAATCGTTTTATACCAATTCAGGTTGAGATTTAAAAATAAAAAATCGTTGTCAGTACTTTAATAAAAAAACAACCACGAGTTCAAGTGGTAACTGAATTCTTTTCTTAGGTAAGTTACTTTAAAAACAATATTTACAATATATTAATACAACAAATGACGCTTTGCTTTCCGAGATCAATATAACAAGTACGGAACAATTCAGCGAGTTCCCAAGGAAGTTTCACGGAAAATCTAGCAGAATATTGTTTTTTTTTGCAGTTCTGTGGTTTAAACGGTACCATACCGCGACCAGACTTAGCTGGCGCTGGGTACTTCGTACGATCTCACTGCATGCTGCCAAATATTTTTAGTTCCTGACTTCTTTGAAATGAGAAACAATTCGTGAACATGATCATTTGTAAACAGTGAACAAATTTGCATTGAAGTTTGTTAAAAGCTGAACATGTGTAACAACACTAAACATTGTTTTCCCCATTTTGTTGATTTTGCAGCTTCTGTAATTCAACACTATTAGCCAGCAAAGGTTCATCACGAGAACAATCGTCCTCAACAGCAGGTGCCCCGGGCACTGCAAAGTCGCTCTCATCTAGGTGGATTTTACTAAGGTCTTCACCTTGACGCAGTTGATGTCTTCTCAAAATTGGCCGAGTTGTAAGCATTAACCGCTGTAAAAAAAATATACAAGTTGAAAATTAAGTAAAAAGGAAATGAAATTTTAATGTCTTCTTTTTTACTTTCATAATAAAATTGCACAATACTAGTATCCTGCCTTCAAATATGACACATCTTAACAATTTGAAGAAAATTAAAAGAGGACATTAATTACTTTTTTATTTCTGTGTACCAGCCAATGGTTATCTTCATACTTGATACTGAATGTAAGGAGACAATAGGAGGAGGCAAATTTACCCTCACACAGTAGTAAAATAAAGGACAATTCTCTTCGTGGTAAGAAGAGAAGAACTCTGTGGATATTAAAATATCTAGTCAATGAACATCCACCTATTTTTAAACCATGTATTCCTTTTCTCGAGTTACTAAAATGTCACGAAGATAACTTAATATATATTTAAGAAGTACCTGAGCAAGTGATCCTTTGCCATCAATCACTCTTTTAATAAAAATAATAGGTATCCATACAACAGAAACCATCGCTAACGTCCAACCGACGCTAATGGCCCAGGACGGATACTGGTACTCTACGGTTTTCCTTTTATACGTAAGTTCTGAGTAGCTGATAGCCCCCATTATAAAGATCGTCTGAAAAAAATAAACATTTGCTCATTCCTTGGTATATTTTTAATTTATTTTATCGCCTGGGGTGGGGTGGGGGGTCTATAATAAAAGAATACTCTGGTATTGCAAACCTCTTTTCCTCCAGAATTCTCATTCTGGGTGACTCTTTCGGAAATTCACATAATTCTATGAATCTTTACCACATGAGGATGTCTTTTCGTTTCAATATAACTCATAGTGAATTTAACAGTTCTTGAGAAAAAGATTTCCCTATATATCTTCTACACTACCTGAAGATGACTATTTGTGACCCTCCTACCCTCGAGAGTTTTTAGAAAGATTTTTCCATTCATCTCCATGTTAAACTGTTCTGCTATTAAACCTCTGACCCCATATTGTGGCCCGTCCTAATCAACGGGGCCACAATCGGAAAAAAAAACCTGATTCTACTCTACATGTACATGGAGATGCTGATACATTTAAAATTACAGATTGTGGCTCTGTAGCTCCTGAGGTTTTTGAAAATTTTCCTTAACTCTATGAAAATTTGACTCAGTTGTGGCACCAACCTTGCCTTGAATCTACTCTCATGAAGTTATTATTTAAGGTATATAATTTTTTTTCTGCATTAAAAATCATCTGAATACTAGTATCTCATTTTCTTTGTAAATTTCAAGTTCTTGACAAAGTATAGGTAAAATAACAAAAGTGCATGATGTATAATTAATAGAAATGAGAGCTGTCAATCGGAAGCCACGACATGATAATTACTTACTAATGTGAACACGGGAGTAACAAAAAGCCAGGCATATTTCATTACAAAGGAGATGCGGAATCCGAACATCATTTCTAGGTTGTCATAGTAACGATTAATACCTAAAAGAAAAATATTTAAAATGAATTTTCTAAATATCACTTCATCATCAACAGGATCTTGCTATGTTAGTATAAGAGCATTACGTGCGTGAAATGCTATTAAAGAATTACTACTGTAGTAACAACACTCAAATATGAATATATATTTTTTGCGTGTTTTTTTTTAATAAGGCAGGATATGTTAACTGCAAAAATGAAAGCATAGTATTTTTTCTGCTTCTTGATTATTTTGGGCAAAAATGCATAATAGTCTGTCGTTACTTTGGCATACTTACTTACCAAAGTTGCTCGACATTATTAATTATGTAAGAAAATAGATCACCCCCAATATGTTTTTATGTGTGATGAAAGAGAAATTTTTTTTAAAAAATATATAAAACCTAAAAAAAAAAAAAAAATTAAAAACACCCCCTTTCCGTATTTTTCGTTGTCGTAATCATATCATTATGACACAGCAAACCAAACCTGTACACAGAACCGTACACCTGCTAACGCTAGTTCTTGATGGATTAATGCTCATGTCACAGTCCTGTTGTATTCAAGCGAAAATGGATTCCATTCCATTTTACAAAACCTTTTTTCTCTATACAACCTCAAAGAACGAACTTAACTTTGTGCATAATAAATGATTTGAGAGTGAAAGCCAACACACACCTTTCAAACTTCTTGGAAATAAAACTGTGCTCTTGAACGGAAACAGTGTTAGTATTTAGTTCGTCAGTTCATATATGAGTTCTTTATACACAGGATAGTAGTTAATAAACGAAAAAAAGTTTTTGTTTTCTAAATGTACTGTTCCAATAAAAATTGACCCTTTACCGTAGTACAACAAAAGTAACACAGAGTCCATTATGCAAATATACATACATTAAGTTTGGCGTAATGGGGACCACATAGACCAGGGAGTACGCTGAACTATGCATATATCCATCTCTTTTTGGCGAAATGGGTAACTATGACCAAAGGGGTAGGCGGCTGGCGAAAGGGGAACTTACGTTTTAGGGATAAAAAATAATAATTGCCGCCAATATTAGAAATCCCTCCACTATCGAGTAAAATATCATAATTTGGACCTTTCATTTAGAGAGCAAAAATAATAATTGCACAGAATATTAAAAATACAGAAGGAAAAAAAACTTTTAGTTAAACGTGGAGGGATTTCTTAATGGGAACATACCGTATATGTAAGCTACCACGATGCACTCGAAGAAGGCAACAACGAGAACAATTCTGCTGGCCGAGTAGTAGTCGAATAACTGAAATACATACATTCCGCCCTAGGTGGACGGAGTTATCGTTTAGTGTGAACATTTAACAATATTTGAAATTTTTTTTCACTCAACTGCCTAATTTATCAAAAATAATTGCCCACCCCTTATGCTATACTCTAACATTTCTAAGTTTTCTTTTCACAACCAACCTACGAATTTGAAATGAAAAAAATCTGCACTATGAAATTTACTTACCTTGTGGACAATTAAAAGAAAGAAAATATATACAAATTTAACACGATTTTATGTCTCTTAATTACCAATATAATGTTAGCGATATTTACCTCAGTGACCATTGAGAGTCCGATGAGGAAACAGATAATACAGATGATTAAGGTGAAAATTTCCCGCCGCTTTCCTCGGCGTAAATAGAGGGGATACATATCTACACATGCAGTAACGAAACCCTCAACGCCAACAAACTGTAAGAAATGGAACCTTTGTAAGTAAATAATAATATCTGATTAAAATTAATTCTTCCACATTTTCAAAGAGAATTTTTGTTGAATGAAGTATGAGAAAATGATAATTCAGCTAGAGTTTATATATATATATATATATATACTCTGGGATATACCTACCTGACTATCAAGTCCCAATAAAATGATCATTATGAAAAACAAAATGGACCAAAGGGGAGCAACCGGCATCTGAGCTACAGCAGTTGGGTATGCGATAAATGCTAGTCCTGGACCTGTAAAAGTACAAAAGAGAGCGTCAGAACCAAGTATCCGGTATCTCTGTTTAGATTCTCAAAGTCTCTTCTCATAACATGCAAGATAAAGTGGGCAACCCTATCTTTACATGGCGTAGTTTTGTTTTATTGTTATTTTATTTCTTCGTTTTGCAGTTTATACATTGTCTTGTACCTTGTCTTACTGACCTGACTCAGCTACGTCTTTCACGGAAACACCTTGTTCTTTGGCCATGAATCCCAGGACGGAGAAAATTACAAGCCCTGCCAGTATACTAGTAAAGCTATTGACTCCCGCAAAAATCCAAGTGTCTCTAGAAATAACAAATGAGATTATCAAATACATATTTACCATATGTTTTATTTAAAGTTTCCACAACCTCGAATGGGGTTAGAGCAAATTACCTGTAACTGTTATGTCTGAATTTGTTATAACTTCCAAGGGCAGTCAGAGTTCCTAAACTGATCGAGTAGGAGAAGAATATCTGTGTTCCTGCATCAACCCACACCTGGACAGGTAAAATAAAAAGGTATTTAGTATTGAAATGTATAGATTAGAATTTAAACTAGATGTGTCGTAACGCCACAAATGCCCCCGCAAGCAACCAAAATTTCAAATGCCATTCAGAAAAAGGTGAATTTATAACTAAGATAATAAACAGAAACTGCAAATTGTAAATTGCACATTTGTAGCCGAGATAAGAAAATGTGAATTTTTAAATCTTTTTCAAGTTCAAGGGAGATAACTGTAAAAAAAAAATCATCGGACCAGGACCAAATTCGAACTCGACTTGTATTTTCTGGTAAAATACCTGAATATGCAATTTCAACCTTATACATGTACATACATCCCTACAAAAGTAAGAGAGCGGAAATAGAAAAGTTCTTACTTTTGCTAAGTTCAAGAGGGATAACTCTGTGAAAAATCATCGGACCATGACCAAATTCGAACTTGACCTGCTTTTTCCCATGACGTATCCATATATCAAAATTTGAGTTGAATGTGTGCAATTGAACGGAGTCAGTGATGACGGAATGACAGAATGACGGAATAGGTTACACTATCTCCCCCGGTCATTTTATGGCGGGGCATAAATAAATGTAATTTATATGATCTAAGTGGGATGTGGTAATCTGAAGATATTACGAATTTGCATGCTAGACAAACTGTTCATAGTCGAAGGATCCATTCTAAAATCAATAATGCTCGAATTCTTTTGAGTTCTTCGTCGATCTCCAAACTTTCCAGATTTCTGTGTATTTGTATGATTAGATAACCATACTGCAAGTATTATTCTATCTCATGATTAGATGAATACTTGAATCATTTTTTTTTTTTACATCTTTTTTCCTGCGTTTTCTATTTGCATCTATAAGACATTTAAAGAGATAAGTATGTCTAAAATTATTGATTATAATTTGCATTGTAATTGACTGCACCTCCAAAAATTCACGTAAAAGATGTTATGCGGAATTCATCTTTAGAAATCCCTTTAAATCATTTTTTTAAAGGATTAAAAGTATCAAATTCCAGATTTGGCATGCTCATCGCCACCTATACAAATCAGGATTTGACTGAATACATGTTTCTATGGTAACCTAAATCAATTTCGCACATTTTCATCTTGTCTGCTGCTCTACTTTCGCAAAAGTTTGTCTTAGACGATCAATATGTCTATCAGTCGACGCTGTTTTAATAACAGCCTAGTGTTTGTGAATAACCTTTCATATCAGAAGGAGAAATATTTGTTTTATTGATGCTCTATGGGGAAACTCATGTGGTTTGGTCAAAGACATGCTCTATAGACATTTCAACAACCCTTTTCACTCAGTTGTGACCAATGCAATGTATTTCGAAAGTCCTTAGTAAAATGACATGTTTGTCGTATATTATTAGCAACGAATATTTATCACTCATTCAATTGAAAAAATTAATTGCAAGTAACAGTCTATATGGAGGTGGGAAAAAATTCTATATATTGTAGCCGCAATAATAAAACAAACTTGTTGACTCATGTCGATAAAAAAAAAGGTCTTGACGCAGGCCCGTAGAAAGCGGGCGGGGGGGGGGGGGGGGCTCTTTCTGAGTATATAGTAATTTCTATAGTGAGTTTTCATTTTGATGCCCCCAACCCACTTTTTGTTGCTGTAAGATCGAGTACTGGCAAATTCCATGATATAGATAGTAAGTTTTTTTTTTGGTCATATTTTTTGCATTATTTTGGGAAGTTGCCCCCCCCCTCCCTCCCCAATTTTGGACAGTTTAGGTTTTGTTTTTGTTTGTGTGTGTGTGTTTTTTTTTTTTTTTGGCTTGTCAGATTTTTTTTGAGGGGCTGGTCCCCCTTTTGAAACCGTTTCTTCGGGCCTGCGATGTAAGTGAATTCTCACTTAAATAATGAATTTAATAAATTAATTAAACATCAACTAAAAGTCATTTTCTTATTCATCGATTTCTTTCATTTTGACTTCATTCAAAATAAAATTATTCATGCATCACATTTTGGCATGGGTGAATTTTTCAATCGTCGCTTTTAATATAACTTGACTTGGTAATTTGCGTATGCAATAATCATAGAATGAATTTTGTTATTATTTCACTTCTTGAAAATGAAACAAACAGTTCAAGGAAATCACACGTGTTATTCCTATTTTTTTTCAGATATCAGGGCTAAATCAGACATTGAACTTTCTTAACATAATCAAAGGAATCATCCAATCAACAAGTCATTTCCTTTATTCATTCGTTTCTATCGTTTTCTGTTCATTAAAAATGACTATTCGTGCATCTCTTTTTGTATCAGGTAATTTATTTATGCATCACTTTTCCTATTGGATGAGTCAAGATTTTAATGCTACAACCGTGCAGGAATTTTTCCGTTTTTTCACACGTTAAAAAGGAAGCAAAATTCATCGAAAACACAAATTTTATTTCTATTTTATTTCTGAAATTAGGACCAGAGTAAGGTTACCTGTGGTTCAGCCAATTTCGACCAATCAGGAAGCAAATAAAACTTCAAGCCCTCTGCAGCCCCATCAAGTGTTACCCCGCGAATAAGAAGTATCAACATCAATAAGTAAGGGCTTGTGGCTGTAAAGTACATGACCTAGTAAAAAAATAAAATACAGTAGATGAAAAAAAAAGGAATGTGAAATAGATATAAATGCCAAAATTTTCTGCGAATTTTACCATAGGTATTTGAATAAAAGTTATAATAATTTATTTTATCATACGATCTTACAATTAAATTAGACAAAAGATAAACAAGATTTCAGGAATTGGCAGGTTATGAAAAAATGATTCTTGTGAACGTATCTACAACAAATTTTGTAATCAAGAGTTTCTATTTATGCGGCATGCAAATTTATGTCAAGTCTCATTATGCTTTAGAAGCAAAACAAGAAACATTCCAACGTTGCAGGAAGTGTCTAAGAAAGAATTCTTGACACTTAAAGTGTGGAACCTGCTCAAAAAACAATTAGATTAACAAGAAAACTTGTACAAATTGGATGCCTTGGTCGTGGGGAATGTCGAATATTGTTTTCAGGGATTTTGTTTAGCTCATGGATACTGATTCACAAAGGGAGTGAAGAAGATTTTGTGTCGCTGAACAAAAGAAGCCCTCAGTTTGGGGAGGGTTCTACATTCCGACACAAGTCATCACCTTTCCCGAGGATTTAATGCCCTTCCATATGCAGCCATAGACGACTATCCATGATAAGAGAAGGCAGAGGGCCAGATCCCACTTGACGGTCCCAGCGTGGTCCACACCGCTGGATAGTTGCAGCACTTTTCTCCTGAAGAACGTGATTTCTGTGTGTTATCTTTAGCGCAGTAAACTTTTAGTATACATGCGCCTTTTTTCATCCGCGATGAATATACATCGCTTATTAATCAGATAATTATTATGAATAACAAGATCTTCACTTCAAACTTAACGGATAATGCTGTAAGTTATTATCAGAGTCAGATTCTGAAAACAAAACGAGCCTTTCTGTAGAGTAACTTTTAAAGACTGTATTCTTGTCATTAATTAAACATTTTGTTTTCAGAACGACTGGTTATGAAGGTTCAATTCCTAAATTAAGGTATACCAATAAACTGCTTAAATTCAACAATTTCAATATATCTGCTAAATTGTGAATTGAAAGATTTTAACTGGTATTGAAATACATAGTTTTGTGCAAATGTTTTACATGTCATATTGCAAGAGTGCTTTTTTTCATCTTTTGTAGCCTTCTATATAGGACAGGTACTTGAATTCTTTTTGTATTATAGTTCTAATATTTTGATTACTTTAAAGGGGGACGAAGTGTAACCCCCCTCCAACCAAAAAAATCTTTCAATTCACTGTTATAACTTCTCATAATAAAAGATTTTTTCGCTGCTTATTCATTAACAATTTTTAAGAGGAATTAATTAATTTGGTTGGTGTTCTTGTTTTCCTAATAATGCTTTGCAGTTTACACATCTTGATAAAATCATTCTATCATTAAGTTTCCCAGGCATACTTATTACTGGGTAATCTACTGCAATTCTATTTTCATTGTTATTCACATTTAATCATATCTGGCAAACAATGTTTGCAACATTTTGCAAATTGACTTATATACATGCTGTGAATATATCTTGATTCCGCATTTAGGTAGCCAAACATGATTACGCTGTATGTAATGAAAATTGAACTGCTTGAGAACTTGCTGCTTTATAGACAGTTGTTAATGCCCACACTTAACAACAGCATTCATCAGATGATGTAAACGGTTATAGCTATCATTAACATCAAAACATTAACGAGGGTTTCTTTGAAGAATAGAACTCTAAAAATATCCCAAAATTTCGGCGTTTTCTTCACAATAAAAACAAGATCAAGAGAAATAGCTACTTATCAGCCAAATTTGATTGTTGGTGTGAGCATTAATTCCTGCTTACAGGGACAAATCACGATTATATCACATATTTTTGCATACAAAACATGTGTAAAGCTGCAATAAAGTTCATTTTATAGGAAAAGATGTAATATGCTCTGAAATAGGCTATCAAAACCAGCATGATGCCCAATGCCAGTATACATTAGTGTTTTCATAAAAGCAAGGTTTCCAAGATTCCCTCTTCTCGCATTTTGATAAAATTCCTGTTTTAACAGACATGCTATAAATATATTCAAGTATTCGTGAGGATCAAGAATTTTGGAAACTGGAAATCTTGCTTTATGAATATGCTGGAAATGAATTTTGGTAGATATTAAATTATCACTGACAAACCTTCACAACCAGTGTACCCCGAGATAAGAATATACAATCAAATATAATTATCATCAGAGGTCGATATCACATTTTTCATACTAAATTAACAAAAACTACATTGTTCTGTATAAAGACAAATTCATTTGAATATTGCTTATTACGTCCTGAATAAAATATTTCGACTACAAACAGTTTAGTTTCTAATAAATAACTTATTATAGAAAATTATGGCATTCTAGGAAATAGGAACTGAATTGAATGCTACATAATGCTTAGGGTTCATATTAACCCGATACTGAATTTAACATGTTTTTTTCCCCACATATTATATCATTCGATCAAATTTTACAAGAATGTACGATCAAGATAGGGTATTATGACTAATTTAGTAGCAAAATGATTTTTGAACAAAAAATGAAAGGCGGCCAGATGTTTGAAAAAACGTGTATCATTTTTGTGTAATATAAAATGAGTCATCCAGGAACAAATAAAACTTTTTAATAAGTGTCTTTTCAGATAAATGGCAGTGTTTTAGGACTGGTCTGTTTTTTTTGTTTTGTTTTTTTTGTTTTTTGTTTTTTTTTTGATATTCATGGTTAAATTGGGAATGAAAAAATTCGAGCTCAATGTTTGCTATCAATACTTTTTTTTAATTTTAAGAATGATGCTCATATATTTACAACTTCTTGGCCAATCAGTGACAAAGGGCAATTGTTTTAGGGGTAAATATCAAAAATTAGACAAGGAAATTAATCTCTTGTCGAAAAAGAAGCTTTTTAAGCATTGCCAATTGTGAGATTCAAATCCAATATGTCTACGTATACCTTACATACTATTTCTCAAAATAAACATATTCGTCATTTTCACATGCATAATCACACTACTTATCTGGCTACATTCCCTCTTGCAAATATACATTGCATATCATGATTATGTAATCACAAGTTTAGTCACATTTCAAACCTTTATCGCACATTCTCGACAATTAAATAACATAATATGTGGGGGAAAACATGTTTCAGTTCAACTTTAGGTGGAACTTAAACGTAAATAAACTGTCAATATTAACAACAATCATCAGATCGCATTACACTAGAACATAAAATATAAAGACAAAAATTTATTAAAAAAGGGTGATTCATCGATCGCGAAAACTCGATGTGAATCCAAATTCGCGTATGACTGTACTAATCGTATGAAACACCCTTCGTGTTAAGAGTCACATATTTCTGTCCACTGGTCGAAGTTCTTACCTCTACCAAAGGTAGCAGCTGAAAAGAAATGGGGACAGATTGCGACTCTGAACACTAAACTACAATAAGAACAAATGTCTTTAGAAATACATCATAATTAAATAAACTATGAAATTTTGTACAGCATTATCCGTAAACTATGTTTGAAGTATCTTTAATTCGTTTTTAATTTTTAAACATATTTTTTGAAAATCATGTCAGATGGTATATCCTAAACAAAACCCAGTACCCTGCAATTATGGAGTTATAAAGAAAAGTAAAAGTAATACATACTCCCAGAATTCGGTGACAGGATCACACTTGATGGGTTCGCTTGTGGTGGTGCTATTGGCAATTGAATACGCTACTGTTGTTAGTGTATTATTGACCATTGAAATAAGACTGGTAGCGTTGGTGGCAGTCATATTCTTTGTGGCAAGTCGACACAACTCTGAGTTCCAATCATTGTCGCCATGAGACCAAGGCAACACAGAATTGAAAGAGGCGAATAGGTAGTAAAAGGTCCATGTCAGAATAATGTTGTACTCGCAGTTAAGCAGGAACACAATTATAGTGCACGCGTAGCCTATTCCTAGAAAAAATAAGACAAAACCCATTTATTTATTATTAAAGAATCTTTAACCCCCTCCCGTCCCCCATCCCCGGTGTTAATTGCTGGTCCCAGGCCCCAATAAAGGGGGATGCACTTTTAGCACTAGGTGTGAATGGTATTAATTATTTCTATAACGTTGCGGCACACGACAAAATTTTCATTTTGGAACAAAAATTATATTGTCCACCATAATAAATGATGCGTTTTGGTATCAATGTATATAAAAGAGGATAGCTATGTTCAGGTATGCAAGGAATATTCATTTACCAATATGCAATTTCATGATACGGTAAACTAATGCTATACCAACTCGGCATTATTAATAGATATTGACATAATATTCGACGGAATCCTACAAAAATGAGTTTGGTTTGATTGCAATGTCATTCCATAACAACATCTGACCCGCTGCTGAAACATCAAATTTGGAACAAACGTCCTTCAAATGACTTCACAAGTATTTAAATTTATTTATTTTTATTTATTTATTTATTTATTTTTCTTTGAGAACCCTAAGATAACTATTGTGACTTCCAGTTTGCCGAGAATCTGAAGATGGCTGAAAATGCCTCTGATTGGCTGTTTTCTTTTTCTCTCTAAGAAATATCTTTCATGACCGCTTTTTAACTTAATATTTGTTCTAACCGTTAAGCATAGACACAATACCAAGAAACAATTCTTTTCCATTTAGAGAGCGTAATAAAACATTCATAACATAAAAAATTAACGTGTCTTTCAGTGAAATGTGTACTGGATAGGTCATTTGTTTCAAATGGCGAAGTTATGACCCCTTACTTTATGTATCTAATATTGCATACAATAACTTAGTTTACTTGTGTTCTGGCGACTTGAACCTTCCAATTAGTTACCTAAAAGCATTTGGGGTCAATCCTTGGTCAAGACTTACGTTAAAGGTTTTTTTTCCAGAGGTTCCTTCGCTTCTGGTTAAATGGCATTAATGAGGGCCCGCAAAACAAATGAGGAAAAAAATAATGTTATTCGGCTTTAAGAGACATACCACAAACATTTTTTTTAAATCTCCCACACAGAAGAGTTACACTACTCTTCTTTCAATATTTCTTTCAGTGGAAATCTAATTAGGACATTTTAATTGTGTAAAATGTAAAAAGACATTGAAAACGTTCCCAAATACTTACATGTAACCGTAACAATATACATGTACATTTATTGACTGGGTTCGAGGGCAACATGCCTTTTGTAGGACCCAAGAACTAAACTGTTGGGCCGAGGAAAACAGTTTGGTACGAGGGGTCGAGCATAGTCAATAAATTTTTGTTATACTTTTAATTTTTTTCACATACGTGTATCTTGAGCTGGTTTCCATGAAAATTTCCTTTACCAGCTAGGCCCGAAGAACGCCGGGAGGGGGAGGGGGGAGAGACCCCCCCCCCCACTTTTTTCTGATTTTCCTGTAGATGCTGGTTGCTCCCCCCCCCTTTCATGTTGTAAGGTCAAGCACTGCCAAAATCAAGGATTTGGACAGGAAGTAAGCTTTTTTTTGCTTGTAAGAATTTTTTTTCGGAAGTTGCCCCCCCCCCCTCCCCATTTGAAACCGTTGCACGGGCCTGTCTGCACTACGGTAAAACTCGGATCACAAACGAATGCAAATAAGATTCAGCTGATCCCGCCCACAATGTGACGTAAGCGGTCCAATATATCATCGGCAGGTCCAATATCTCATTCTAAGGTCAAACATCGATTTTTTTATGACCGCTCAGTATAAGAATGGAAATTTTAGACCTTTTTCGTATATATTTTTATAGCAACCAATTTTTAAAGGTATACTAAAACTTTTTATTTCTAATACTTTTCAAAATTTATATTGTAAAGTTATATTTTCTTACTTTTCACCAAATCATGTAGCTTGGCAAAACATAAGATTGTTTAACTAAACATATATCGTTTCGTTAGTGAGAGAGGCACCTATAAAGATATTTGAATTTTGGAAGACAAAAAATATTGGTATTTATCCTTAATTGCAGAATTAAGGCACACTCCATTTGGGTTGATTCTCATAACAAAAGTAAAGGTTCTTATTAATTTATTTGTTGGTATATATAAGAGAGTTTTGTATATTCATTACCTTATTCATTTACAGGTATGCATGTTGTGTAATCTTTTCAGTAGTAAGTGAATTTCGATTCCGCCCGTTAAACCAAAATATTTTTGTCTTCCTTTTGTAATAACCGTTTTAACCTTAAAAAACAAATTTACTTAAACTATTTCGCTTCCTGTGGTGACTTTAACTCTATCATGTTTGTACTGGGGATGCTTACTATCAATTAAGATACATACAATGCATGCAACGTGTTTTCTTGATGAGTGATTACATTAAAGTTAACTAGGTCGCTTCCCAAATGATCTCAAGGCCAATAATAACCGACCTTGCTCATAAGATCTTGGGTCACATACGACAAATCATGCTTCAGATGCTGCAAGTACTTTAAAGTTTTTGAGGCGCTGCATTTTTAAGAACATATTAATATCGTATGTTATACGTTTTTGTAAACGTGTACATGTAAGTAAGCCTAAATATCTGAATTTCAAATGTTCCGATGTTTTAAGAACTTTGAGGTGTGAAGATGACAATACTTGTTCAGAATTTTACGGCATATTTAGAATGGGATTGTTCCTGTGGAAGACAGCGTTTGCCATGTTTACCTTTAGCTAGAGATTTTGGTCAAGATATAAAGCATACAGATGCATGTATTCTTAAATAGTTTAAATTTATGTGTTTTTTAAACTTGAAATAAAATGAAAACCTATGAAAAAATAGTTTTATTCAAACCACGCCACTATTGTATAAAGTCGTGCCTCATTAATCCGGACGCTTAAGTTCCCGAGCAAATCCTTCGGATTAATGAAGCGTCGGATAGCAGTAACATAATTACTTGATATACGAGAGGTAACATTGGTAGGTAAAATTGTTCCACATAAATTTCATTGAGAAGATGAAGCGTCCGCATTATTGGCGTCCGGATAAACGGAACTCCACTGTATTTTATATTCACAATTGAAGTGGTTGGGGATCTAAGAAACCTTGAATTGGTAATATAAATCTTAACCTTGAATTGGTAATATAAGTCTTGATATACCTGTGAATCCTGTTTACTATATAAGTGTACAAATTCCTCAGGAAAACGGTGCTAACTTACGGGAAAAGATAATGACTCATAGAAGAGACGGCTTCCGAGAATGCACGTCGAGTGGTAACATGTCCCGTCACTTGCAAGGCTTGTCTTAAGGACCCTCTATACACTGATGAAAAATGTTTTTTTGGACTTCGAGAATTTTATATAGCGTAAAGGATCATACTTATACTGAAATTATCAAGTTCCATTTTTAACATTGGGTGCGTGCTTTTTCACCCAGAAAAATGTTCCAAGACAATCAAGTACATGAACTCACTGACAAGGAAAAATCACATTTGCTCACTCAAATTTGGAAAATACATGCAAATGAAGTTTTCATTTGCTCTATCTTAGTCTGAAATAATGTTAAGAATACTTGAATTAATTAAAAATTATGTAATACTGTGTAAATTGCAATTTATTCTATCGTATATCAAATGGCGGAACAGTCATTACACTTGAAAATAGTGTGCAGTGTCGAGATTGTAAAACCTTTGACCTTTATGGCATTGACAGTACCATGGCATCATAGCCGATACTACATAAAAAAATTGTATTTGAAGTTTTAATTTTGTTCAGTTATTGAGTTACGTGAGCTTTTCCTATCCTGATTTTATCCATTCGTCACAGTATAATCTTACCAGTTTCGAAATTCTTTCTAAAGGATAAGTGCTACACGGGATTTGTTATATTGACTCCGGAAACGAGGTTATGTGCATTAAATACAGAGATTTCATATGACCCTGTGTTTTCTTTCTCAGAGGGATGGCTTAATTTCGGTGTTAGTCGGCTGATATTTGTTTTGTACAAATATTTGTAATCTTTGGTCTAATCTTTCTTAAAATTCGGATTTAACATGTTGTAACAATCGACTTCCTTTCTGGTTGTTCAACCTTGTCACAAGCCATGGTTTTTTGTGTCCAGTCTATGTCCAGGTCGTCATAAGTCACTGGTTCTTTGTGTCCATTTCATTTCTACAAACCGGGTTTATGGAAATAGAATGAACATAAAACCCGTAGCATGTGACGATGCTTCCTGCGTGGAGAAACCGATTAATAATGTTGAAAAGAACTCGTAACATTTTTTGTACTCGATATACTCCTACATATCATAGCTAAGTAATTAAGGCATCAACGCCTTAAAACTCCGTAAGAAGTCTTAAGGACTGTTAACCGTCGATATGATCCAGGCAGCAATCGAATGACACGGTATTCTTTTTTCCTTTCATACCGTACTCTGGTCTTAATCTGTTATTGTTCGTTAATAGGGTGCAGTCATTGTATGTTCCTTCTCTCCGTTATGCAACGTATTTCGGAATGGTTTTAAAGTAGGTCAAAATGCACCAGGAGCAAGAGAGTGGATAAGTAACGATGACGTCAAGTAACTAGACTTGAAAGAAATCCAATATAAAAGTCTAGACCTTCCATGAATACATCTAATAAAGGGTTTACGTTTTCAGATAATTAAATGTGTATCTGAAGAAAAAACGAACACCATATCCTGAGTAATTTTGTTTTTAAATACTCATTAGAATAAATGCATAATTCAAAATGGCTCTGGACACACGAGTCATTCAAAACACTCGATATTTATTATTTTATGTCACAAACATTTTTGGTATCAGCTGTTTTCAAAACAAGGTATTGCAAATATGCATAACTATTGCATTGCTTGTATATATGTATATATAACCTAAGAATTCGAATTTCCTCTGAATAATACATTTCCCTAACGAATGGAAAATGAGCTATACTTGCCTTGAAATAAGGGTGTTATTTTCCATGTACCAATACCACCCTCAGACATGTACTGTCCCAAGGACACTTCTAGAAAGAATACTGGTATACCACCAAGGAAAACAGCCGTGAAGTACGGAATTAAAAAAGCACCTGTATAAAACAATATAAAAACATATCGTTATATTTATCAAAATGTGATGAGAATGTACATTCAATTTTAAAGGAATCCAAATAAAAATAGAAAAGTTGAAGTTTCATTTTCACATGTCTTGAGTTGTTTGTTTTTGTTTGTTTGTTGTTTAACGTCCCTCTCGAGAATTTTTCACTCATATGGAGACGCCACCACTTTCCGGTGGAGGGCTGCAAATTTTGACCCATACTCGGCACTAAGGGCCATTGAGCAATGACGGATCTTTTTCGTGCCAGCACCTACTGCGACACGGGACCTCGGTTTATAAGGTCTTATCCGAAGGACTGGTCTCCGCGTTCCGCACTGGATTCGAACCCGCGAGTAAGGATCAACTCCTTAGACCACGTAAGACGCTCTAACCACTGCGCCACGCGGTGTGTTGTATTTTACACTATTGGTGAGATACAACATCAACACACAGAATTAAAGAATTGTTTCCGTAGACTATCCCTCTGTTCACCCATAAAGAATTGTGCTTTAATGCTAATAATTTTCAAAAGAATAAATATAATATCAAAATGCACACAAATCAGCAACCCTTACCGGGGGAAGGGGGGGGGGGGGAGGAGGAGGAGAAATGAACTTTTGACTTGGCAATTTTATATAGAGGAATAATAGTCATTTATCCCAGTTAGAGTTATCTCTCTTGTCAGAGGGTCATTGCACCTTAACAAACTACTCGCTGAGGGAAACTCAAAGGACTTAGAATGTCTTATAAATTTCTATTGCCTTTTAAATACTGACCAAGTATATGTTAATTCATGGTCGATTAATAAGTCATTATTCTGACATCTGATGGTCATTCGAAGTAAACAGGATTTAGCATGTTCGTGCATATCATTGAAAGAGATCTGGTGTACTGAGAGATCATCATTACATGTAATTGTTCCTTTGCTCTAAGGGAACAAGCAAAGACGACAACCCAAGTAAGAGGGGACAAATATGCATCTTTTGTGAAATAAACTTACTGGCATTTATCTTAACCCGACAGCATGATTTGTAACTTTTCAAAATTCCATTGTATATTAAATACATGAGCAAATTTGGCGGAGTTTGTTACATTCTGCATATCATTAGCGGAGTTTATTAAATTCTGTAAACCCCTCCCACATTTGTCCCATATTGTTTATCAAACACCGTGGTATGAAACTTAACCAAGACTGCCGAAATCCACAATGATATACATTATTTTTGCGTATTAAAAGATAAATTACTTCTGATAGTAAATCTAGAAGGAATCTTTTTTTTCTGTCTTTGTTCGTCTGTCTGTCAGCAAGATAACATAATTAGAATAAACTGAAATGCCAGTAAATGATGTCGTTAAGGCCAGGTAAAATCGATTCAATTTGGATTTTGATGGACCCGGATTAGCTGCAGAGCTTCATCCCAGTGACCTACAGATCTGCAGCTAAATTTGCATAAAGCTGCAGACGCACTATTTGTTTTGAACCTTCATCAACTACAATATCCTCAAAATATCTGCAAGTGTTTATACAGATTCCATTGGGGTGGGGTGGGGGTGAGAGTCTTAAACACGGAAGAATGGATTAAATTAGCAGATGCGTGATAAAAAGAAAGAAAAAGAGGGATAGATGAATGGTTAATATGCATCAGGATATAATGATAACTCTTAGTTGGGATGTACGCTCTTTCAGTGTTTGCACAATCCATGTCATTCTGTCATATTTTTTTCATCTCGGGCTTTTCCGTCAGAGGTCGGAAAACAACAATTAGACTTTCCCGCTTGTCGGAAAGGACTGAGAAGTTTCGATTGATTTTTTTTCTATCATATGCATTTACATATTTTGTTGCCGAAATGCTTTAAGGCAAATTAAAGTTACCGAGATACTTAGATAGCTACACGTTAACTATTGCAAAATGATTTGGATATTTTTTAAATGAAGTGACAATTGAAATTCAGATCTCCAAAATATGAAAAACTTGACGACTTCACATCTAGAACTTAAAGAGTAGTGACACAAATGGACATACAAGTTCAAGAAGAACTTTACAGTTGGCAAATAATCAAAGCTTTGTACATATGAAACATAAATTTATTCAGGTGTGTCGACATCTTCATATGTTAAGTTCAAAATATGCTGTATAAATGACAAGATAAAAAATACGACTCCAAAAACACGTATAACAGGATTTAGATACTTAATTATGTTATATATATATCCTACCAAAGGAATTAACATTCCCTGTTTGTGGATCCCTTTATATGTGCTTTGGAATATGAGTTTACGAATTACATCTCCTTTACTTATAGATCATAAACATAGTCGAAAAAACGAAAGTAAAAGCTAATGATTATCGAACATGCTCAGTGTAGCGATGTACACACTTCGGTGGTGGTGTCTTTACCACGCAGTCATGGTTTTCAAATATATATCACCCCGTAATTTCACAATAGAAAACATACAAAAACATTTTATGAAACCCAGATGCCTAACAACCAACAGTTGTTGTGACACACAAAAAATGCTAATGGCCTTGGTAGGCGTGCGGTACTTTTCCATACGACCATTTCGCCCACCATGATGTATAACCAAGCATGTAAAGGTTCAGGAATGGGATGTCATTGACTTAACCGAAATATAAACTTTCTTTCAATTGGTGCACTCTATATAGATAATATCTATGAAACATTGGGGAAAAATTGTTTGAGTAACCCTACTTTCACTGACATTTTCCTTGTGTTTATAAATGCATACTCTATTAAAAAGGCACTTTGACACTCCTTTTCTTATATAGAAAAGCAAATAAAAAGCTGCATAATGTTTTCTTTCATTGCATTATGTTCTTTCTTTGCCCATGTCGTAAGCAAACGATTTAATTAAACGAAATATTTATCAGTATTACAAGTAATAACTTATGTATTTGTCAGTATATACTAAGAGATATGTATTTTTGTGGAATTTTACGCCCCTTTGTTTTTTTCTAGCGAGAAGAGTTACATTCCTAACAAGTAAATGTTATATAATGAATATTTTTATATCGTATGTAACATTTTTTTTATCATCATCATACTATATCAATCACATGTGCATGTAGTCCCAGACACTCTTAGATGAACAATGCATATATTATCTTACTATTTTAAGATTTTTTTTTTTTGATTGTACATAACATATATGTACGTATATTTAAACATGCACTTTTATATTTATTAAATTTACAAAATGTACTGTATTTTCTATGCCTGTGGTTTGACAGTGGTATATTTTGACATTCAGAACACTGCAAGGTCATTTATATTAGCAAATTTATTACTGGATGATGATATAACAATGAAAGTCTTTCTAAACAAACATAAATCAGCTATAAAAATGATTAAACACAGAAACTCATTCAAAATATTCTATAAAATGTTTCGCAAGTATAGAATCTTTTTATGGAAGGGGGGGGGGTTTAGAAATCCACTTTTCACGTGTTTTCCTTGTTTTAGCATACGCTGTGTAATATGCAAATATATGTAACATCAAAACAGCATCAATTCATGAAATTCGTGTCTTTCCTACATATTAAAACAGCATCATATGACAAAGGAAGACATGTTCTTCAGCGTTTCAAATTATTGCTGCCCACCAGTTTATAAATACTCAATAAATAACAATATTACATACCCCCGCCATTTCTGTAACACAGAAATGGAAACCTCCACACATTTCCTAGACCGACCGAGAAGCCAATGCAGGCCAACAGGAAGTCCAGTTTGTTTGCCCACACTTCCCGCCGTTTCAGCTTCGGTCCATCACTTGCTGTTGTCGCGGAACCATCTGAGGAGAGAGCTTCCGCTTCCTGTTGTTTCCATGACATCGATTCTCCTTCAGAGGAGTAACCGTTTTGTTTGGAATCACTCATTTCTAATTAAAAAAAAATCTATCTTGTTTTATTTTAAAATTGACTGTCCCATTATATATAAGGCATAACCCCCCCCCCCCCCCCCCGACTGTAATTGCAGTCGATACCTAATTTTTAAGGTATTCTGTTGTCAATTCAAAATGTTTTTTAAAACGTTCCCATGCTCTTCACCATACCCAATAAATTAAGAGAAAATTTTTGAATGCTACCTTAGGGCTTTTGAACATCAAATCGCAAAAATTTCAGACGGTATAAATAATCAAATGCACGGTATATTAGATTTTGTTGTTTTATTGATCAAAATGCATTGTTAACTAGAACAACCTGACTCTACTGGTGGCATTTGGTATTGAAGATATCGATACTTTGCAATTGTCGATAAAAACTATGTTTAATGTCATGCATACTGTTAACAATATAAATATTAGCTTTGCTACTACCCTCCGACAAAACCAATATTGTTGATCATTTGAATAATTTAGAAAAAAAAACTCTAGTTCATTTAATCCATTCATCTTTACTCGGACTCTATCCAATAAATCCAAATATTGATCTGAACTAAAACTACTAGTATCTAGAAGTCTATTTAATGCTTTTGTTTTGTTTGTCTTTGCATGGCCATAGGGATCAAGGTTTTTCATTACATTTAACTTAAACAATGGTTCCACTACAGCATCCCATGCTAATATTGTTCTCCACTGCGACTTATAAACGGGGATTTAATGATTTGAATGCCCCAAATTACTCAGACATGTATTGTTGATCGGTACAGTCACAAAACAAATAGACCTAGAAACCAACAATAACACTGGACCGATTGCACTTTTTCAGAGTTCAAATGTTATTTTATGGTTTGATAGTATTGCAACGCTTTCAAGTTCATTTGGTTAACCCCAACTACTCGATAAATACAAGGCTTAAGAAATAAACCGAATACAGCTTAACTTTCACTACCATGAAATATGGAGATAACGAACAGTATTCAAGCTCAAAGTCCATTTAGACAATACAAATATCAAAAAGGTTACCAAATATCCATATATTGCAAATTCCCTTTAAATTACTTGAAATTATATATATATATATATAAGTAAAGGGGGATCAAACATCTTGGGTGGAATGTAGGATTCTGAACGCCTATATTTAAATTGTACACCGACACTGATTTGACACCAGTCGATACCGTCTTTGCTGTAGATTTTACATAGGAGGGTATTTTCAGTCGTCGTCGCCTTTGTTATTTACTATCCTTCTTTAATTAATACCCCCCCCCCCCCACCGGCCAAAATACACCCTCTTTGACAAAGTTAGCAATGCTATCATACTATAATTTTAGCTTGTTGTTAAAAAAAGGTAGAGCACGTGCTATCAATATGTTATTCGTTTCCTGCATATGAGCGAATTCGTCTTATGAAAACTTCCCTTAATTCATTCTTGTTGCACTGTATAAACTTACTTCCCCCTTTTCATGAGATTTGTTTTGAACACACCATCAGTGTTTTATATTTATCCGGGACCTGTTCAATGAATTTGTATAGACTTTAAGAAAAAATATATATAGACGCACGTCAACTTAGAAGCAGAAAAATGTTATCGCCAAAAGTTAAATATATCCTTGTTCGATACATTTCAATTTTCCAAGAATTGGGCTTTTCTGAAACTTAATACATGTAATTTCAAACGTTGCTTCCTTAATTTTTAGCAAGTGTCCATGGACGATGTACCACAGACTAACCAATTCTTTTTTTAAAATCCCTTCAACGCCGGGGTTAATAATGGCAGGCCTACATAATAATTGTGTTCAGATTTTTCCTGCTAACATGCCGTGTACAATACTGACAGGAAATTTATAGAATTTTCTTTAATTATACAGCTTTCATCGATTTTTTTTAAAGATAAGGGGCATGTTCATATATAAACCTGAAATAACATCATAACGTTAAGTACCCTATACAACACTATCATTGTAGTCATTTATCATACAGAGTTATATTTTCTTCCCTTTCAATATATGTTACCATGTTGAATGGAAATTTACCGGCTTTTTAACATTTTCATGATTCATCGATTCTGTTTTATTAAACTATGATATTTTCTTAAAATATAACTTTACGCATAAGAAAATGCACAAAAATGAAAGTATACTTTACCACGCTTTGTAGTCTGTACTTCCTACGAGAGCCAAGACTAGCTGGATAGTAAATTAGTTACGAGTTATTTATGCTGGCCACTCGTGCTGCAAGGTATTATAATGAATAGCTATGCTCGCGCAGTCTATATGGTCACGTGGTTTTCATTCACACGTGTGAAACTACTACACATACACAAAAAAGAGCACAGAAATAAAAATAAATATCTTTTTGGCCGAGACTTTAATGCTGTATTAGCCTATATCCATTATTCACGTTAAATGTGATGGCTTTATACACAAAAGCCGTTACCTTAGTAATGTTTAAGACCGTATTCGTTCCTAATGTTTATAGGCACGTACAATTGAGCTAACTCTATAAAAAGTATCTTGCAATGGTGTTATTCACTTGGACACTTTATTGTTTTCTTTAGTTTTCTAAGCATTAAAAAATATTACAATTTCAAGTTCTTTTCATTATCAAAACGCGAATGATCGAGTCATGTACCTTGTTATCATAGTCATGGAGAAACAATTATTAATTAAATACTACATGTATTTAGCTCTCAAAGAATGCAAAATATAAAAAGCGTAATATTGTTCTTGAGATATCTTTCATGCGTCCCTTTTTGTTTTAAAGATTCGCGTGGTATTTATAGTCATGCAACTTCAAATTTTTAAATATGTACCTTTTTTTTTTTTAGAGGTCAGCACCCTTTTGTCTTCCCTAGCTTGGCCCACGGCCATACCTTGAAGTATCTTCTAAAGATACTGTTCAAAGTTCAGTTTAGCAATTACGCATAATTTGAATCTCCCGGTATCTCAATTATTCTTTTTCAATCTTAACCAATCTAAAAATGATAATTTTAAAAAAATATATATATACATAGTAACAAAATTAAGTGGACGGGGACAAACTTCAATCAAAAACTTTCAACACAGATATCACGTTACTCATGTTAGCTAAACCATGCCAATTTACAGCAAATAACCAGTATATACTCCATTAATTTCTGTGCATTCAGTTTTGTTTGTTTTGAACATATTTCAATATGTCAAAGGGATTGCATAGACATAAGTCCCAAAACTTAGGCAGTTATAAAAAGATTCTTCTCTCATATAAAAGAAATATGTGCATGTCAGTTTTATTTCACATTTTTTAACTTAAGGATATTATTCTGAGCTAGCAAGACGTAAGTGAAAGTGAGTCTAGGGAGTATACTAGTACACATTTTTCATTTACGTTAAATCCGCATAGATATCATTGCTAATCCTGATCTTTGAGTTAGAATCTTACAGTCAATTTTAATGCTAATCCTTTATCCCTGTAACATGCGAGAATAAAACTATTTACACAAATGTTTGACTTGAACTCCGAGATGGAAATCTTGATCAAAGCTATGTTCATCTTTGACTTATGCAAAATGGAAAGTGTATCACATGCGTAACAAAGAATATTTTGACCCCTCCCCCCCCCCCTCCAACTTTGATGTTGATAGATCTAAATCAATGCAAGTCCTCTTTACCTATACAGCATGTGTGAAGTATAATCCATAAAAATTCTAGAGATGGTTTTTACTCAAGTTGTGCATCTACATTCTGTAGAAGAAGCATGCAATATTGTGCCAGGGGAAATAAAACAGTTGTACAAGGCATTTACCAAAAAAATTCTGTAACCTACGACCTTTCAATAAGATGCTACTGTACAACTTTTACCTGGTGGCGCTGTATGGTTGAAGCAAGAATGATACTGAACTAAGTGCTTAGTCTGGACAGAACAATCAGACTAAAAGTCCGACTAATAACTGTGGATGTTGAAACCCCAGAGCAAGATCTTGATTAATTTTTAACATGTTTTATTTTTCATATTTACTGGAAAATTTAGAGGGGGACCTAGCCTCCCCTTTTTGTGACCAAAGATATACATAAGAGTAATAAATCATTTTTTGTTGTGGGGTATTGCATGAATTATACATAAAGTACAGGTAAAATAAGTCGAAAAATTGTTCCATAAGCTCCTAAAAATTGAGAGATTTCTTTGGCTTCGCCCACTGGGACCCCGCCCCAGACCCCAAATGATTGCCCCCCCCCCCCCCCCCCGTCCCTTGAAGATTATTGAATCCATAACTGATATCAAGATTAGGCAAATAGATTAGCCTAAAATTAATAGGAACAGGCTTTCATGTCAAGCAACAACTCTCTCATTTCTATGCCCACGTAATCAAAGATTCGGGGCATATTATTAGTTACACAATCAGTTAGGGAAATTATCGATTCAGAAAAGCATATCGACCTCGCACTTCGTGCTCGGTAGATACGCTTTTCTGTGAAGTCGATATATCTATGGATCGACCACATGAAAGGGATATATATATATATATATATATATATATATATATATATATATATATATATATATATATATATATATATATATATGTAACTTGAATAATATATACAACAAGCAGAAAATTTAATACGTTTCCGTATAATAGATGATATCAACGGTAATCTTACCCTAAGGCGATTGTTTTGGCCAACACATTGTTAGTAAAATTTTGTTTAAAAATATAATACCCTGGGACCTAAACCCTTTCCGACGGTTCTTACAATTACTCAGTTATTATGATTGATTTTCAGATGTAAAGATGATTTTTTTAAGACTTTAAAATCTTAACTCCTGAGATCTAGGAATGATAGGTGTAAGCTGTAACAAGTGATTGTTTTAGTTCTTACGTCGAGTTAGTAAGATTCCAACCGAATGTAAACGTGTTTCTACGGAATACTTCACTTAAAAGCAAAATTTCACCAAGTCGATCAAATCTTATTATAGCAAGGAGAGGTATTATTCTAATACTCAAGTATGTTTAAATTTACTTTTTTGAAACACACAAACTTTAAACTTAAGACATCTTTCACATGTTTTTTTTATAGGGAATATAAAAATAAGCACGGCAAAATAATGAGTATAACATCGATCCAAAGCTAGATGAGGTCAGATCTTCCAACATGCAACAACTTCATGATTGGAAACAACTCAGATCAATAATAATTTCTAGTTTTCGCCGGAATCTGGAAGCTTTCAGGCAGGTCGATTTCATAATGGGTAACTCCAATAAAACATTTATCTTTTTTTCTATTTCACGGAAAACAGCTTTCAAGTTTTCGATGCAACTACGACTTAGATATATAAATGTATTTTCCAAATTGTTTCCCGAGTATTTTCGCAGGAAATCAATTAAACATGGTGCTAATTTTTATGAATACTGACGATCGGTGATGGGTTTTCAATGCGTGAATAATTCAACAAACACGTTGTTCACAAACCATAGCGGGTAGTAACATGCCTTACAAGACAGCGACTCATATGCTTACCATTATTATCAATTTTGGCATTGGGAAAAAAACAGTATATATTTGTCAAGGACTACAGTATGTACAAATTGTACCAGTGCTCTTCTATACAGTTATACATGTACGAGTATTCATCTAATTCTCCATTTTGTGTTATTTGACGAAAAATGGAGATCACCTGAGTGATATGAGTTTCTAAGACTATGAATGATTCAGCCCCACCTAGGAAGGGAACTCTAGACCCATGAGATATGGATTTTACAATGTGGAAGAGAATTTTTTGTTCATTAGGGTTTTCTTTTAGAAGGACAGGAGAAAAATATTTTTCAAAGTTAAAATACATTTACAAACACGTATACACGTATGATCAGTTGAGCTCTATCCTGGGACATGATCCCGGTGCATTTACAATTTCACAGTTTGGTTAAACTCTCATAGCAGTTTGCTTTCCATGTTCACTAGTAATAATTCTTTAATGCATGGATGTTGGTGCAACAATGGAATGAAGTCGCTTAAGAATCAAGGAACATACAAAACCTTAATAACATCAAAAAATTATACGATATTTGCAAACTTCGAAGCTTGACAGGTAGTATGCATCCCAAAATGCAATATCTGAATGACTGGTCAAAATGTGATTTATAGTAACTAGTTAATGAGCTTGTAACAAAATCATACACCAGATCAGTATATCAGATAGAAATTATAAAGTCATATGCAAGCATATGGACTTACTCCATGATCAAATAACCGATGGCTCTTTCAAAACATTCAGAAGAAGAATCGTATCTGGTAGTATGAATCCAGAGATGCAACATCTTTGATAGAGTCTGTAGTTACCGGTACTTCGGAATGGTTCTGCTCGAAAACATCTGCCTGATCACTCATCCAGAAAATATATTTCATCTGCAAAATCCGATTATGATCATAGTATCATCTTCCATGTTTCTTCAACAAGGAATTGCTGCTTCTTGGGGGGGGGGGGGGGCAACCCTGCTAAAGGAGTTGAACATGATCACTCATCTAGAAAATTAAGGTAGTTTGTTGCTTTCGAAATGTTATAATTGTACACCTGCATTTTAGCATAGCTATTCAATACAATTTTAAATTATTAAAATAAAAAGTCTGGAAGACTTAGAGTTCGAATGACATTGAGTAACAAGGTCAATCATGTACAAAAGATTTTTTTTGTCCATATTCCACAGAATGCACCAAGACTCCATCCTAAAGATAGAAACGAGATAGCTACAGCCAGAACAATGGCTGTTTTATGACAGAAGGAAAAGGAAGTACATAGCAGTGGTCTTATGCTCAACACAGCAAGTATAGAGCTCTGAGTAAATAGTACAGCATAACGAGCGATTAGAAAATAATTTGAAACCGAAATAAACAGATGGAAGCACCAAAAGGAAATAAAAATAATCTGAGAGAGAGATGGCACCAAAAGGAAAAAAAAAATAATCTGAGAGAGATGTTAGAAGTGAAACTGTATAAAAATATCAGGGAATAAGGAAAATTGTAAGCAAAAGCAAGAGAAATCAAGAAGTGTAGACAAAACGGAAAGCATAAGAGAGTTCAATACTTCCTTTAAACAGGGGTTTAATGCTTAAATCGCTACCAACCACTACAGTCCGGACCCAAAACACTTGTATTGAAAAAATTGTGTGAACATACTTCAAAATTACGCGTGGTAGCTCCCTTACAACGATGCCAAAGGTAGCAACAGAGAGGTTGCCTGATTAGAACACCCCCCCCCCCCCCAATAAAAAAAGAAAAGGGCTTACATTTCTGTTAATAACTCTGTGTAAAATA